TGAAAAACTAAGTATATTTCCCTTCATCCTATCCTACCCTCCATTTATTCTATTCTCCCTCTTGACCCTGTCCCTCTTCAGAAGTGTTTGCTTCTGATTATCCCCTCCCCCAATCTGCCCTCCCCTCTATCAACCCCTTGTTCTCCTCAGCAGATTTTTAATGTACAAAGTTAGCATGCTTGTATCACTTACAAAATTCTCATGTTGTTTCATATTCTTATTTATAATTTCTTTTGGCAGAGTTGTAATTTAGTTTATGCAGTTTTATTTAGTCATTTTCTAACTGTTGGACACATGGCTTACTTCCAAGTTTTCCAATTATAAATACTGCTGTTATGAATGGTTTTGTAGAAAGAAGTCTTTTCTCCATCATTCTTAGGATGTACTACTGTTAAACCAGTGACGTCAAACTGAGATAGAAAAGGATCTCTGTGACTGCATATTGACAAGTTAACATATGCTACATCATATTATATTTTTATTTATGTTATTAAACATTTACCAATTATGGCATGTGGGAGCCTACAAGTTTGACACCTTTACCCTGAATAGTGGTATCAGTAGGGGGCAGCTAGGTGGCACAGTGGATAGAACACCAGCCCTGAAGTCAGGAGGACCTGAGTTCAAATCCGGCCTCAGACCAAACACTTGACACTTACTAGCTGTGTGACCCTGGGCAAGTCACTTAACCCCAATTGCCTAAACAAATAAAAATTAAAAGAAAAAAATCAAAAAAAAATAGTGCTATCAGTAATCCAGAGGGATGAACAGGTTAACTGCACTTGTTCTGGATTGCTATATTTTATTCAAAAAATGTTGCACTATTTCATAGCTCTTATATTTGTTTCATGCTGTGTCTATTTCTTCACATCTCTAGCATTAAATTTTACAAATCTTTAATGGATTTTATGTTACATTTTAGAGTTGTTTTCATTTGAGTTTTTTATGATTTATTTGATAATTTGAACAGTTTTTCTTGTGGTGTTGGCCAATTTGTATACCTCTTTAAAATTTTTTTTCCTTATCTTTTGTTTTTACATCATCTTCATTTCTTTTTTTTTTTTTGCTCTTTTTTGGTGAGGCAATCAGGGTTAAGTGACTTGCACAGGGTCACACAGCTAGTAAGTGTTACGTATCTGAGGCTGGATTTTGAATTCAGGTCCTCCTGACTCCAAGGCCAGAGCTCTATTCACTGTGCCACCTAGCTGCCCTTACATCATCTTCATTTCCAAATATATTTGCTACCTCTCCCTTCTCTAATGAACCATTCCTTATAATAATGAATGAAAAAGAGGTCTAAAAATAAATGTCCAGAAAACTATCCAAAACGTTAGTTGATCCTGCCAATACTGTGCATGTGCTGTTATTCACCCAGAGTCTCCCACCACTACAAAAAGAAGAAGGTTAATTTTCTCATTTCTTCAGGGTCAGGCTTGGTCATTATCATTATGTGTGTGTTTGTGTGTATATATACTTGTATGTACACACACATACATTATATATATGTATAAATGCACAATGTAGTATATATGTATTTGTGTATATATACAGAAACACAAAACACATATACCCACAAAATATGTGTATATAATTTTTGTTTTATATACATACATATGTGTATATATGTATGTGTGTGTGTGTATACATAGATATTATGTGTGTGTGTGTGTGTGTGTGTATATATATATATATGTATGTATGTATTTTTATATACACATCTACATACACCCCCACCTGTACCCCCCAAATTATACATTTTTTGTTCTTACTATTTATATTGTAGATTTTTTTTTAATCCCTGGTTCTGCTTATTTCAGTCTGCATCAGGTCATATGAATCTTTCAGTACTTCTCTGAATTTATTTGGTTGACTAATTTTTGTAGTAGAGTAATTGTGTGATTATTTGCTTGGCTATTTACCAGTCACTGGGGATCTGTTTTGTTTCCAGTTCTTTGTTATAACAGATGGTACTATTTAAATACTTTGGTGTATATGTTCAATACACCAAAGTATGTTATACCTTTTCTTCTTCTTAAGTATATGTTTAGCAAGGGGATTTCTGGATCAAATGATACGGCTATTTTACTCACTTTTTCAGTATAACTCCAAATTGCTTTCCAGAATTAGACCAATTCACAGCTCCATCAGCAGTACCTGACTTTCCTTAGGCACCTGGGAAAGTGACACAAATGTGTATAGATCTAGACTAAGATCTTTCTTTTTTTTTCCTTTCTTTTTTTTTGTTTTGTTTTTGCTTTTTGGTGAGGCAATCAGGGTTAATTGACTTGCCCAGGGTCATACAGCTAGTACGTTTCAGGTGTCTGAGGCTGGATTTGAACTCAGGTCCTCCTGATTCCAAGGCTGGAGCTCATCCGCTGCACCACCTAACTACCCTGATATTGGACTGGACTCATTGTACAGATGAGGAAACTGAGGCAAACAGGGTTAAGTGACTTGCCCAGGGTCACACAGCTAGTATCTGAGGCAGGATTTGAACTCAGAAAGGTGAGCCTTTCTGATTCCAAGTGCAAAGTTCTATCCACTGCACCACCTAGCTGCCCTAGACTAAGATCTTTCACTGCTACCCCATGGAGGTCAAAAATGAAAAAAAGAAAAAAGAAAAGGAAAAAAGGCCCCATATGAATTCATCCTTTCAAAATTTTTTTTCTTAAGTTATTTTTTCTTAAGATTCTGAACTTTTTGTTCCCTCAAACGAATACAAATGAACTTAGTTATTATTTTGTTTAATTCGATAGAGCATTCCCTTGGTAGTTTGATTTGTAGCATATTAAGTCTATAAATTAATTTAGGCAGTGTCAATATTTTTGTTATATTGGCTGGGCCTAAATACAGATTCTTGATTTTACTGAAGTTTTGGAACTGTATATATTTAAGCCTTAAGTGTGCACCTTTGTAGATTGAATCTCGTATATTTTATGCCTTATGTATTTATTTTCATTGGAATTTCCCTTTTTAGTATTTGTTCATAGTTTTGTTATTGTTGTATTGAAATGTTATTGATTTTTGTGGATTCATTTTATATCCTACTTTATTGGAGTTTATTATTCCAGTTTCTTTGCTGATTCTCTGGGGTTTTCTAAATAGACCATTATATTATCAGCACAGGGAGACTTTATTTAGTCTCTTCTTTATTGATGTTTGTCTTCAATTTCCTTCTCTTGTATTATTTGTCAGTAGATTTCTAGAACAATGTCACGTAATGGTGGGGAGCTTGCCTTAGCCTGGTAGACTTCAGCTGAAGTCCTACCTTTAACAAGTAGAAGTTGGGTGATCTAGGTCAAGGTGTTGATCTGAGAATACATTAAAGAAATCCTGGGTCCTATTTTTTTTAAAGTCTTTTTCAGGCTAACGATCCCCAGTTCTTTCAACTATGCCTTCTATGGAATTCCATGCTAGGACTGGTCAGCATGTTGGTTGGCCTCCTTTGTTCTCTGGCTTATCAGTACACTTAATATTACGTGGCCCCAGAACTAAACACAGTACTACAACTATGTTTTGGCCTGGGCAGATATTTTTCAGATGAATTGTCTCATCATGCTTCTTTTTTTTTTTCACCTTCTGGCGGTGGATTTCTGAACCCAAATGTAAATTTTTGCATTTATCTATTATATTTCCAATTATTAGTTTCAGCCCACTGGTTTGGCCTTTTGAGATCTTTTTGAGTCCTAGTTGATTCCTATATTGTTAGCTTTCCTTCCCAGTTTTGTGTCATTTGTAAATTTGATTATTTTGCCATAGATGGGTGTGTGTGTGTGTGTGTGTGTGTGAGAGAGAGAGAGAGAGAGAGAGAGAGAGAGAGAGAGAGAGAGAGAGAGGAGAGAGAGATATGCTCTGGAATATAAGTTATAAGCTGCTAGCTAGGACTCTGTTTCAATCCTGTTTTGATTCTATGTCCCCTTCTGAATTTCCTTCTCGCTATAGTATATTTTAAAAATATTTTGTTGCTACTTTTTAAAATGTTCATGTCTATTAATATACTATAATTTATTCAGCTGTTCTGTAACACAGTAACTCTAGTGGCACCCCATTATTTCAAGGATCAAGTATGAACTCATCTATTTGGAATTTAAAGTCTTTCATAACCTAGTTCCAACCTACCTTGCCCCCTTTATTACACATATTTCCCTTCAAAATACTATGATCCAGTTAAGCTGGCTTTCTTGCTGTTTCCTGTACACTTCATCTCAGACACTCTCATGTCTTGTCTGTCTTTGTACTGACTGGGTTCCATGATTATTTGGAATTGGAGGAAGAATCCTTACTTTCATCTCTTAGAATCCTTACTTTCCTTCAAGGAAGCTTTTACATGAATTCTTTTTTGTTTCCTTCCCCCTAGCTGGTGGTACCTTCTCCCCACAGATGTGCTTAGAAACAGCCTACTGGGGTGGGGGGAATGTGTGGACAAATATACTTTAAAGCTTAATCTGCATTTGCTGATTTACAAGGTAAATAAATGTTCATACTGAAAATTTAATAATTGTCTCTCTTGAGCCAGTTTGACTTTGCTCCAGCACACGGTCCTTCCCCTGTCCTTCAGATCCTTTGTATCTCTTTTGTATTTGCAGCAGCGTGACCTTCATTTCTCCAGTTTTAATTTCCTCTAATGCTATATAGTAATCCTTGGGAGTTTGATTCATATAACCCTGAATTTGTAAGTTCTTGTAGGTGATGGTGTCATTTTTATTATGTTGGCCATTATATTTAATGGTCAGCTACTTTATTTAATATTTTTATTACATTGTCCAGCCATGAACACTTAATATCACTCCAATTATTTAAGACTTTATGTCTAAAAAGAATAGTTTGGACCTTGCCTGTCTTTGACTTCAGTTTCCCCTAAACAGGGTTTATTTTACCTGTTCCAAATTGAGCATTGTTCTCCTTGATGGAAGCAAAATAAACCAGAACTTGCTGTCATAAATGTTCCTTTTTGTCAGTATGACCAAAAGTGGCTAGTTACATGTTTTTATTTCTTTCAGATTCCATTAGTCAGGATTCCAGGTTTGGAACCAGGGTACCAGATCGGATGCAGGACATTTGCATGGAGACATCATCCAAGACAAAACAACCAAAGGTCCTTCCTTTGCATTCCAAGATGACAGATGTTAATTTAGAGAAACAGAAGGTCAACCCAGAAAGACAATCCAGACAAATAACAGTCACTCCTAGAAAAATTGATAGTAAAGGCAGGGTACCTGGCAGAGGTTGTAGCCTGGGGTCTGTCTCTGTTCCACTGTGGAGAAGGAAAAGTCTTAGGAAATATGAGACACTTGGAACAAGCATTGGGGATAAAAAGAAGAATGTTTTTAATTATGACAAATTTAGGAAGCCTTTCATTTATCACTCAGACCTAATTAAATTTCATAGACTACATGGTAGAGAAAAACTTTATGAATACAATGAATGTAGAAAAGCCTTTGGGAGACAATCTAATCTTGTTAGAAAACTGGGCATTCTTACAAGGCAGAAATATTACAAACGTAACAAATATTGGAAAGTCTTTAACCGGAGAGGAGAACTGGTTTATCAGAGAATTCCTCCTGGAGTAAAATTCTTTGAATGTAATGTGTGTGGGGAAGCCTTTAAGGAAGAAGAAATGCTCAAAAAACATCAAAGTATTCATATTGGAAAAAATCATTTTGAATGTAATAAATGTAGGAAAAGCTTCAGCCGAAAAGAAAATCTAATTACCCATAAGAAAACCCATACTGAAGTGAAATCCTTTGAATGTAGTGAGTGTGGGAAAAGTTTTGGACGGAAGGTACACCTTGTTAGACATTATAAAATTCATACCCGAGTGCAATTATTTGAATGTAAAGAATGTGGGAAAGTCTTTGGTGAAAAGGGACACTTTAGTATCCACCAAAGAACTCATACTGGAGAGAAACCTTTCACATGTAGTGAATGTGGGAGAGCCTTCAGTGAGTGTAAAGCTCTCAAAAGCCATCAGAAAATTCATAGTGAAGAGAAACCCTTTGAGTGTGATGTATGTAAGAAAGCCTTCAGTCAGAAGGGACACCTTATTTCTCATCAGAGAACCCATACTACAGCGAGACCTTTTGAATGTAATGTATGTAGGAAATCCTTTAGTCAGAAGGGACACCTGGTTTCTCATCAGAAAACTCATAAATGTAACGAATGTGGGAAAATCTTCAGTGATAGTAATATACTCAAAGACCATCAGAGAACTCATACTGGAGAGAAACTCTATGCATGTGATAAATGTGGGAAAGGCTTCATACAGAAGTCATACCTTGTTAAACATCAGAGAACTCACAATGGAGAGAAACGCTTTGAATGTAATGAGTGTGGGAAAGCCTTTCGTACAGGTGTACACCTCAGTACACACCAGAAAACTCATACAGGTGAGAAACCATTTAAGTGTAGTGAATGTGGGAAAGGCTTCAGCCAGAGGGAAAATCTGATTAAACATCAGACAACTCATACTGGGGAGAAACCCTTTGAATGTGAGGTTTGTAAGAAAGCCTTTAGGCAGAGAGCACACCTGGTATCTCATCAGAGAACTCACACTGGAGAGAAACCCTTTGAATGTAATGAGTGTGGAAAAGCCTTTGGTGAGAAGCGAACCCTTAGTAGACATCAGAAGACTCATGCTGGCTTGAAACCTTTTACATGTAATGAATGTAAGAAAACCTTCAGCCGAAGGACAGGCCTTATTATCCATCAGAAAATTCATACTGGAGAGACAATTTTTGAATGTGATGTATGTAGGAAATCCTTCAGTGAGAGGAAAAATCTACTTTCTCATCAGAAAGCTCATACTAGAGAAAAACCTTTTGAGTGCAATGAATGTGGGCAAACCTTCAGTAAGAATGAGATGCTTGAAATTCACCAGAAAATTCATGCTGGGAAGAAACCCTTTACATGTGATGAATGTGGGAAAGGTTTCGTGAGGAACTCATACCTTATTAGACATCAGAAAACTCACACTGGAGACAAACCCTTCAAGTGTAATGAATGTGGGAAAAGCTTTGTCCAGAAGGTACATTTCCTTTATCATCAGAGAATTCATACTAAAACAAAAAATTTTGAATGTAGTGAGTGTAAAAAAGCCTTTGGTGACAAGGTACTCCTTAGTAGACACGAGAAAACTCATTCTGGAGTGAAACCTTTTAAATGTAATGAATGTAAGAGAGCCTTCAGCCAAAGGACAAGCCTTATTATCCATCAGAGATCTCATACTGGAGAGAAACCCTTTCCATGCAATGAATGTGGAAAATTTTTCACCCAAAAGACAGTTCTTATTACTCATCAGAAAATTCATACTGGAGAGAAACCTTTTACATGCAATGAATGTGGGAAAAGTTTCATCCAAAAGGTAGTCCTTATTAACCATCAGAGAACTCATACTGTGGAAAAACCTTTGACTTGTAGTGAAAAAGTAGAAACCTCCAGTAATAGTAATATATCTCAAAACCAACAGAAAATTCATTCTGGAGAGAAGCGATTTTGTTGTGGTGAATGTGGTAAAGGCTTCTGCTGGAGAGCAAACCTTATTAGACACCGGAAAATTCACACTGGAGAGAAACCCTTTGAATGTAATGAATGTGGGAAAGCCTTCATTGAAAAGAATTACCTTGTTGCCCATCAGAGAATTCATACTGGAGAGAAACCCTATGAATGTAATGAATGTGGGAAAGCCTTCAGCCGAAGAACAAACCTTATTACCCATCAAAGAATTCATACTAAAGAGAAACCTTTCCCATGTAATGAATGTGGAAAAGCCTTCAGTAGGGGTAAAGCCCTCAAAAAGCATCAGAGAATTCATACTGGAGAGAAATACTTTGAATGTAATGTATGCAAGAAGGGCTTCAATCATAGGGGACACCTTGTTTCTCATCAGAGAACTCATAAGAGAGTGAAACCTTTCTCATGTGATCAATGTGGGAAAATCTTCAGTCGAAGGACAGTCCTTGTTAGACATCAAAAAACTCATTCTGGAGAGAAACCATTCTCATGTAGTGAATGTGGGAAAGCCTTCGGTGAAAGTGAAACTCTCAAAAGGCATTGGAGAGTTCATACTGGAGAGAAACCCTTTGAATGTAATGTATGTAAGAAAGCCTTTAGTCAGAAGGGACATCTGCTTTCCCATCAGAGAACTCATACTGCAGTGAAACCCTTTGAATGTAACGAACATGAGAAAACCTCCAGTGAGAAGGATCATCTTATTACCCATCAGGGAACCCATATTGGGGGGAAAGTTTTCACATGTCTTGAATGTGGGAAAGCCTTCAGTGAGAGTGAGGACCTCAAAAAGCATCAGATAACTCATAGTGGAGAGAAACCCTTTGAATGTAATGTATGTAAGAAAGCCTTTAGTCAGAAGGAACACCTGATTTCTCATCAGAAAACTCATACTGCAGTGAAACTCATTGAATGTAATGAACATCAGAAAACTTCCAGTGAGAAGGATCATCTTATTACCCATCAGGGAACCCATATTGGGGGGAAAGTTTTCACATGTCTTGAATGTGGGAAAGCCTTCAGTGAGAATGAGGCCCTCAAAAAGCATCAGAAAATTCATACTGGAGAGAAACCCTTTGAATGTAATGTATGTAAGAAAGCCTTTAGTCAGAAGGAACACCTGATTTCTCATCAGAAAACTCATACTGCAGTGAAACTCATTGAATGTAATGAACATCAGAAAACTTCCAGTGAGAAGGATCATCTTATTACCCATCAGGGAACCCATACTGGGGGGAAAGTTTTCACATGTCTTGAATGTGGGAAAGCCTTCAGTGAGAATGAAGCCCTCAAAAAGCATCAGAAAATTCATACTGGAGAGAAACCCCTTGAATGTAATGTATGTAAGAAAGCCTTTAGTCAGAAGGAACACCTGATTTCTCATCAGAAAACTCATACTGCAGTGAAACTCATTGAATGTAATGAACATCAGAAAACTTCCAGTGAGAAGGATCATCTTATTACCCATCAGGGAACTCATACTGGGGGGAAAGTTTTCACATGTCTTGAATGTGGGAAAGCCTTCAGTGAGAATGAGGCCCTCAGAAAGCATCAGAAAATTCATACTGGAGAGAAACCCCTTGAATGTAATGTATGTAAGAAAGCCTTTAGTCAGAAGGAACACCTGATTTCTCATCAGAAAACTCATATTGGAGTGAACTTCTTTGAATATATTGAATGTGAGAAAATCTTCAGTGAGAAGGATCATCTTATTACCCATCAGAAAACCCATACTGGGGTAAAACCTTTCACATGTCTTGAATGTGGGGAAGCCTTCGGTAAGAGCAAAGATCTCAAAAAACATCAGAGAACTCATAGTGGAAAGAAATCTTTCACATGTAGTGAATGTGGGAAAGCCTTCAGTGAAAGTGACGCCCTCAAAAAGCATCAGAAAATTCATACTGGAGAGAAACCCTTTGAATGTAATGTATGTAAGAAAGCCTTTAGTCAGAAGGAACATCTGATTTCTCATCAGAAAACTCATGTTGGAGTGAACTTTTTTCAGTTTATTGAATGTGAAAAAACCTTCAGTGAGAAGGATGATCTTATTACCCATCAGAAAACCCATACTGGGGTAAAACCTTTCACATGTCTTGAATGTGGGGAAGCCTTCAGTGAGCTTGAAGCCCTGAAAAAGCACCAGAGAGTTCATGCTGGAGAGAAGCCCTTTGAATGTAATGTATGTAAGAAAGTCTTTACTCAGAAGGAACACCTGATTTCTCATCAAAAAACTCATACTGCAGTGAAACTCTTTGAATGTAATGAACATGAAAAAACCTTCAGTGACAAGGATCATCTTATTACCAATCAGAGAACCCATACTAGAGGAAAACCTTTCGCAGGTATTGAATGTGGGGAAGCCTTCAGTGAGAGTGAGGCCCTCAAAAAGCATCAGAAAATTCATGCTGGAGAGAAACCCTTTGAATGTAATATATGTAAGAAAGCCTTTACTCAGAAGGAACACCTGATTTCTCATCAAAAATCTCATGCTGCAGTAAAACTCATTGAATGCAATGAACATGAGAAAAACTTCAGTGAGAATGATCATGTTATTAGCAATCAGAGAACCCATACTGGGGGAAAACCTTTCACAGGTGTTGAATGTGGAGAAGTTTTCAGTGAAAGTGAAGCCCTCAAAAAGCATCAGAAAATTCATACTGGAGAAAAACCCCTTGAATGTAATGTATGTAAGAAAACCTTTAGTCAGAAGGAACACCTGATTTCTCATCAAAAAACTCATACTGCAGTGAAACTCATTGAATATAATGAACATGAGAAAACCTTCAGTGACAAGGATCATCTTATTACCAATCAGAGAACCTATACTAGACAAGAACCTTTCACAAGTATTGAATGTGGGGAAGCCTTCAGTGAGAGTAAAGACCTCAAAAAACATCAGAGAACTCATAGTGGAGAGAAATCTTTCACATATAGCGAATGTGGGAAAGCCTTCAGTGAGAGTGAGGCCCTCAAAAAGCATCAGGGAGTTCATACTGGAGAGAAACCCTTTGAATGTAATATATGTAAGAAAGCCTTTAGTCAGAAAGAACATCTGATTTGTCATCAAAAAACTCATATTGGAGTGAACTTCTTTGAATGTATTGAATGTGAGAAAACCTTCAGTGAGAAGGATCATCTTATTACCCATCAGAAAACCCATACTGGGGGAAAATCTTTCACATGTAGTGAATGTGGGAAAGCCTTCAGTGAGCGTGAAGCCCTCAGAAAGCATCAGAGAATTCATACTGGAGGAAAATCCTTTGACTGTAATCAATGTGGGAAAGTCTTTGGTGAGAAGGAACACCTTATCACACACCAGAAAACCCATACTGGAGAGAAAGCCTTTGAGTGTAGTGAATGTGGGAAAAGCTTCAGCCAGAGGGAAAATCTTGTCAGACATCAGATAATTCATACTGGGGAGAAATCTTTTGAACATAACAAATATAGGAAATCTTTCAGCCAGAGGATGCACTTCATTTATCATCAGGGAATTCATGCTGGAAAGAAACCTTTTGAATGTAGTGAGTGTGGGAAAGCTTTTAGTGAGAAGCGAACACTTAATAGACATCAGAAAACTCATACTGGAGTGAAACCCTTTAAATGTAATGAATGTAAGAAAGCCTTCAGCCGAAGGACAATCCTTATCATCCATCAGAGAACTCATACTGGAGTGAAACCTTTCATATGTAATGAATGTGGTAAAGCCTTCAGCCAAACAGGACATGTCATCCGACACCAGAGAACTCATACTGGAATGAAGCCCTTTGAATGTAATGAATGTGGGAAATCCTTCAGTGAGAAGGATCATCTTATTACCCATCAGAGATCTCATACTGGAGAGAAACCCTTTGCATGTAATGAGTGTGGGAAAGCCTTCAGCCGAAGGACAATCCTTATTACCCATCAGAGAACACATACTGGAGTAAAACCCTTTGAATGTAAGGAATGTAGGAAAGCTTTCAGCCAGCGGGGACACCTCATTTATCATCAGAGAATTCATACTGGAGAGAAGCCCTTTGAATGTAATGAATGTGGAAAAGCCTTTAGCTGGAGGGCAAACCTGCTTACTCATCGCAGAACTCATACTGAAGTGAAACCTTTTGTCTGTAAAGAATGTGGGAAAACTTTCATTGAGAGGCAAACCCTTTTTAGACATAAGAGAACTCATGCTTTACCAAATCCTGTTCAGTGTAATGAGCAGGGTTAGGTTTTTGGTGAGAGGCAGGCCATCATCAGACAGAAGAGAAAGAACACAGAACTGACTTCCTTTGATTTGTCATTAATATGGCAAAGCCTTTAGTGAGAAGAAAGTACCAAAGAGCCCCCAAAGATGTCATACTGGAGAGAAAGGGTGCTGTTCCGGGTAGTGTTAGGACACATGGCAGGATGGTCTGGTTGAAAGGTGACTGACTGCATGTATTATACTAGTGCAGTTTGCACTCATTCATCAGTCAGGACTTCTATCTGCCTTTCCTGCCCCAACCTATCTGCTGACCTCCAGTTCACATTTCCAGTCGCCTTTCGACACCTCAAACTGCTTGTCCAGTAGACATCTTAAACTAAACATCTCCAAGACACAACTCATCTTTCCCCCTAAACTCTTCCCCCTCCTGCCTTCCCTATTATCCATCCACCCATCTCTCAGGCTCACAACCTAGGGGTCATCTTGAACTCTTTCACACACACCCCCATATCCCAATCTATTGCTAAGGCCTGTCGATTTCACTTCTGCAACATTTCATGTATGCTCATTTCTGTCCTCTGACACTGCCATGGCTATAGTGCAGACTCTCATCACCTCAGACCTGGACTATTGCAGGAGCCTGCTGGTGGGTCTGCGTGCCTCAAGTCTCTCCCCACTACAGTCCATCCTTCCATCAACCATCAGAGTGATTTTCCAAAAGCGAAGGTCTGCCCATGTCACTCCTCAGTAAACCCCAAGGGTGCCTGTTGCCCCTAGGATCAGATACAAAGTGCTCTGTTTGGCATTCAAGCCCTTCCTAACCTAGCCCCCTTCTACTTTTTCAGCGTTCTTACACTTCACTCACCACCATGTGCTCTTTGATCCGGTGACACGGGTCTCCTGATTGTCCCCTGAACAAGACATTCCCATCTCTCAGGCATTTTTTCTGACTGCCCCCACGTGTGGAATGCTCTCCCTTCTCAATTCCAACTACTGACTTCCTTGGCTTTCTTTAAATCCCAACTAAAATCCCATCTCTTACAGGAAGCCTTTCCCAGCTCCTTAATTCTAGTGCCTTCCCATTGTTATTTCTTATTTATCCTGTATATAGCTTGCTTTGTGTATGTTTTTATGTTATTTCCTCCATTAGGGTGTAAACTCCTTGTGAGCAGGGACTGTCTTTTACCTTTTTTTTTCCTTCTTCTTTTTATCCTTTGAGCTTAGCAATAAATGTTTATCAGTTGACAAAGAAAAGACATCAGAATCCTCAGGGAGGAGTTCAAAAGATGAGTAGATCAACTCCCCCTGGGACTGAGTCATGGTCTGGAGGTTCTTCTCATAGGACGCTATTCCAGGTAGGGACAAAGGGGGCAGCATCAGGCCTACAGCATGATGGACAGCTGTGTCATGATGGGATGTATAGCACCTTCACATCCTGAGATATCAATAGATGGCAGTAGAATTCCATAAATCAGTGGAGCAAATGTGACTGATTCAGGATTTGATTTCTTAATTGATCATTTCCCCCAAACCACTGGAGTGTTATTTGTTTACTCAAGGGTAAATTTACCCATATTTTCTTTCACTTTACTTTTTTATTCTATGTAACAGCAAAATCAAAGATGAAAACAAGAACAAAATCCGTGTAAAAACAGTAAGTTTAATTTGCAGTTAAAACAAATGTGTCCACTTTAACATGACCAGAAAAGGCCGTCTTTGCTGCCTTTGCCCCCTGTGGCTTCCTGCCGTTGCCAAGTTCCTCCTGGAGCTTCCTTTTTGAGGAAGGGCCCCGACCAGCCATCTTCCGTGCTCGGAGCTTTACCACCAGATTTTGCTCTTCTCTTTTCAGTTCCCTTTCATGTGTTGTCTTACTAGAATGTAAGCTTCTTGAGGGCACGGACAGTCTTTTTGCGTCTCTTTGTATCCTCAATGCTTAGCACAGTGCCTGGCACATTGTAAGTGTGCTTAATGCCTATTGACTTTTGAAATTTTTCTTTATATTGATATGGGTGTGATATGGCTGTTTCTCATATAATCATCCTCAGTGGATATATTGGTATTACTCTGTAGTCTTCACTTTGTATTACTTCATATAAATCTTTTTCTTTGGAATTTACAGATGAGATGATAGTGGATAGAGTGCTGGGCCTGGAGTTAGGAATACCTGAATTCAGATCTGACTGCAGATGCTTACTAGCTGTGTTACCCTAGGCAGGTCATTTAACTTCAGTTTCCTCAGCTATAAAATGGGGAAGGTAATAGCGCCTGCTTCCTAGGGCTGTTGTGAGGCTCAGAAGAGGTATACATGTGTCGCTTAGCACAGCACCTGGCACGTGGTAGGCACCATGTGAATGGTGGCTGCTATTATTCTCATCATCGTTATTAGATGTGTCATATCTTGGGGCACATCAGTATTACAATATTTTTATAAAAATGTGTTTACCTATTTGCCCCAGTCAAAGAACGTGAAGGGGTTTTTTGCTATTATGAATAATGCTTCCATGACTATTTTTGTGCGAATAGATTCTATATCCCTGTTATTGCTGTTGTACACTTATGCATGAGATCTATGTAAATGCCATTGGGCACGGGACTGAATTTCCATGACTCCGAGAGAGATTCAGGTCTTTTGTTTTTTCTTGGAAAAGTCCCCGACGCCGGCCTGATACGCCAGATGCATCCTAGACTCTTATGGCCATCTTGTTTGTCAGTCCCTTCTGCCACTGGTGGATCTACTTGTACTTAGTAGCTCTTTCACGGTTACTATCTACAGCTACCAGCCCTCCTTTGGCAGAGCTATAGTGTCCGTTCGTTTGTTTCATTTCATCACTTTTTTTCCTCGCATTGTTGCTTCTGTACTTCTTGTGCTGGACAGACTCATCAGTTAGGAGTTTCTGTCTAACTACATTGTCATTCTAATTTTTTTTTGGTGTTTTAAAAAATTATTAATGTGATAGATCTCAGTAAAGAAGATCATTTGTATATGCAAATGAACAGAAAGAGAGGGGCTTAGGGCCATCTGAGAACCCAGCAGTGGTGACCAGACGGCAGACACCTAGCCTATCTCCTGACCCTAAGCCTTTCCAGAATGGCTTCATGAAGAGCCACCCTCAGAAGTATGCACTCATCTTGCCTTCCTCCTTAGCTCAGGCCCCCCGACTGGTCCTGTTTTTTCTGATGAGATGGAGTGCCTTCAGCTTTACCCTTTCTCCCAAGATCCTCCAAGCCTTACCATATGCTGTGCCTCTATGCCCTTCAGTCCCCCAGCCCTGTCATCTTAACTACCTAAATAAAAGCCTCTCCGTGTAGGACCTCTGCTGTCTGCCCCACTGCTGCACTCATCTACTCTGCCCCTGAACTTTCTTGGATGTGTTCTCTCCTTCCCCCCTCCCCCACCCAACCACCCCGCCCGTGAGACTGTGAGCTCTTTTGAGAGCAGATCCTGTCTTGATTTTTCTATTTGTATCCCCCATTGCTAGCCCAATGCTTGGTGTATTGTAAGCACTTAATCAATGTTTATTTATAACCATAAACCTTTTTTAAAAATTAATTCTGAACTTCAGAAACACCAGTTAAAAGCTAGCATTTCTGTATACATAATAGAACAGAAGCAGGATTTCATATGAAACTGAATCTGTTATTTTGGCTTGTGTTTGTTTGTAGCTATAATAAATTCAAATGCAACTTTCAAAGTCATCTTGCCTGCGTGTGATTCTTTTCTTCTGTGCATTTTAAAATAATGCTTTAGTGCCCCTCTTTTCTTTCCTTTTTTTCTGGCAATGCTATTTCTAGTCTTCCTCTCCTACCACCACCTCCAATTTATAAGAAACAAAAAACCTTGTAACAAATATGCCTAGTCAAGCAGAACAAAAATGTATGTCTCATTGCAGCTTGAATCCATATACTTCTCTATCAGGGAATAGATAGTATGTGTCTTCAGCAAGACACACGCGTCTAGCATCAATCCTAGTGCTTCAAAGTTTTTGAATGTTTCTTTTATCATCAAAGGGTTTGTGTTATTGTCTACATTATTCTCCTGGTTCTGCTAACTTCACACTACTAACACTTCTTATAAGTCTTTTTGGGTTTCTCTGAAAGCAACCACTACATCATGGCGCATTCATACAGCACAATTCAACTATTCCCCTGCTGATCGATCAACATATATGCATGTGTCATTCATTCTCAGCAGGACAAACATCAAGCATATCTTGTTAGAAGATTGCTGGGGGAAGCTGAAGAGACGGCGTCCAGCCCCCAAAGGGGTGTGGCAGCACAACGCCCACATGAAGTCCAGTTGTCACCAAAGGGTCAGTGGCCTCGTTCAAGACTTCATTACTGTAACCCTCCCCTCAAATGTAATTAACTTGAACAGATCTCAATGAACAGGTCATATCTTTGATGACTGGGCATTTCAGTCACTGTTGCTTAGTTTTCCACAGAGGATTGATTACTTAACCCAAATATATATGGAAAGTATTGACTTCATTAAGATAATACTTTAAAACAAGGTAACTCTTGAAGGTGGTGAGTTCCCTCCTTATTTGCAGGAAGCAGATACGTTAAGGCCAGCTGTTACTCCCCATCTTTTACTTATATTCCCCCTTCTTGGTTTGACAGAAGCATAGGCCATCAGTTATTGATTTTAACAATAGTTTTAACAGCCAAGCCCCCCACCCCAAGAATCCCCATTAGAGCTGTCTGAATGACAAGGTTCTGAGCTAAGATTAATTAGAAAATATATTCTGATTAGATCTAATATCTAATTAAAGTCCCAACACATACATCCCCAAGTGTTAATTAACTTTTCTTTTTCAGGGAAAGTTTCACATAACATGAGGGTTGGTTGGCTCAATTCTTTTTCTTGGGCATGTCTCCCATTCAGGTATCTATGCAAATATAGACCAAAGCATGTAAGTATCATGGCTTTGATGTTTTGTTATGAAATTAAAAAGGATGAAGCTTAGAACGGAATTACTTGGCCCCTTCTCTTGATGTCTCCTCCCTTTTCAAAGTGCCTATATCTCTTAATGTCTAGCATCCTCCCACCCCAAATATGTATTGGACCCAACACAATCACACGTTACCCCGTGATGTCATCGGTCCTCTTTGAAAATGAAAGACAAATAACAACATTGAAGCCGTAAACATTTTTACATGTACTCGTCTCCCCCATTGGAGTGCACTGGTCTGGGCCTTCCCCCACAAAACTGGCTTTGTTTGACCACCCGAGCTCCTCTACTTCTGATCATAGCACCTTTCCCCCTGAATGCAGAGGGAGCCTTTGCCCTTTTATGCATCACTTTGTGAGGCCAGTGACGGCTGTGTTTCCTGTGGTGAGTTCTCTGCATGCTGGTGGCAGATCTGTCAGCAAGGGCAATGTAAAGCACTGGGCTAGATGCTCAGGATACAAGTACAAAGAATCCAATTCAAT